CTTTTCTCTCTCCATTTTTGACATTTGCAACAAGTTTGTGCATTTTTTTTTCTGGTAGTCGTAGCAGACATCGAACTTGTGTCGGAGCGTCGAACTTGGGTTTGCGAGCTTCCGTAAAAGATTTTGGCACAAAATCAGCGAGGGAAAGAAAGGATTAAGGGATTAGGAAGAAGTGGAAAGAAGAATAGGCAGAATAAAAAAAATAAATAAATTTATGCTGAGAAGCCTGTTTCAGATATATTTTGGCAAATGGGTTGAGTTTTGCGTTAAATCATGATGTTGCTCAAATTTCATGAATTCTTATGATGTCTGTGAATTCCAGAATATTTACATGAGACAACAAGCTCAAGACAAGCAAATGAGAACTTCTGTATGGTTGTTTCGTCAATTCAAATAAAATAATCTCACGTTAACTAAGCAAAAATAATTGTCTATAGGTTTTAATGTGATTCTACGTTTGACACTAATCCATTTAAAATTTTTTGCATATTGTGGATGGATACCTGCATTGAATGTATGAATGCAAGTTGACTTCACTTAGGATACATGTGATGCTAAGCTATGGCTAGGATAATCTGAATCTCTCTAAATGGTGGAGGCCAAGGTGATAAGCTAATGAATAGGATGCTTTGAAACTCTCTTTGTACTAGTTGTCTTAAGTCTGTTGCCAGCTCTTTTCTCTCGCGGTCCTCTGTCACAACTAGAACTGATCCTCCCAATATTTCTCTGTTGGCAAGAACACCAGTAGTCTCAGACTCAGCATAAGGTAGAAGAACTATATGTTAACCATCTTTGGTGAATGAGTAGAAATTCTTGTACCCATCAAGTTGAGTCTTGTGATCATACTGCCACAATTTCCCCAGCAAAAGGTGGCATGTATCTATGGGCAACACATCGCAATAAACCTAATCTTGCAGTTGGCTCCCAATAAAAAACTCCACGAGATACCTTTTGTAAATGATGATCTTATTCACATTCTTTAGTCATGCCAAAGAATATGATTAGGGATGTCTTTGATCGTGATGCTCAACTTGTCCACCATTAGCGGTGACACTACATTCTTGTTGCTATGTCCATTGATAATAATGATACATACATTTCCCTTCACAGTGCACAAAGTGTAGAATATATTATGGTACATCCATTGTTGCTCTCTCCACGCATCAATCTAAAGGACTTGTCAAACCACAAGCATCTCACCCTCATACGGCTGAAGTTGGTAATCATTATTTTCAGTTGCTTTTCATTGCCAACTTACTCCACCGTCCTCTGCTCGGTGAATGACACAATTCAGCTCATCGGGCAATTAGATAATGACACAATCCACTGTCCTCTGCTCGGTTAATGACACAAAAAAATCTCTACGCGCGTAGGTACACTGGCGTTCTCTGTCTGTACCACTAGAAGATAAACTCTTCTAAACATGCACATACAAGCATTCATATATAAGTTATTTGATTCTTCCATATCATGCATTTTCCTCTACAAAACATTTACCTCTATCTACCAATGAATAATGCAAACTTAATATATCTATAGGTTATGAAATCAACTAACATATGCACATTTACTAAAATTCTAGAGGTTAAATAATAATATAACATATATATATGCGATCATGTGATAAGCTTGTATATTGACCTCTACTAAAATCGTGCAATGATTTGATATTTGTCTAAACTAAACTATTATGCAACTATATTTAGCATGAACATCTATCCTATCTGACGATATGAAGAATTTATTGTTGAACTACGAAATACATGAAATCAAATATATACAATTTGAAATAGAAATAATTACTTAAATTTAAAAATACAATTACTCCCCTCAATTATTTGAAGATCTTTTTATTAGCTAATCCTCCGCTTAACACTCGCTGGTCTTTTACCAGTTTAGTGCCACGAAATCAAGATCCTATATTTTCAAAGTGCACATTAATTTATGTATTTATATTTCCTCTAAGTTAAAAGACATAAAGTAGAATGGTAAAATTTACCTCAACTCTTCTAGAAAAACTCAAAATTCTTCGATATCAAAACCCAATTACTCCTCCCAATCCAAATCACTAATTTTGACTCATGATAATTAATATCCACATAATGACAATTAAAATAATAATATAAGAAAATTAAAGAGATATGAATCTTATCACTATCTTCACCGTCGTCAATCTTCCCGGCTCCAAACCAAATCAGATTCGTTATTCTTTATTGTTAATATCTTAATGCACAACATATATTAAATTTATTAATTAAAATAATAAAATGTAATATATTAAATTTCATAATTTAAAATAAATAAAACCTAACTTTTACCTTAATAAATCCCTCAGCCTCAAAAGATCGAACGAGAGCCTTCCCGCATGAAGGCTCGGCTCCCTCTCTTATCCCTTGCACAGGTGGTGTTGAAACTCCTCCTAAAAGTTGTTTCCTCTGGTTTCAATGCCCTGCCTCTTCTTCCCTCTATCACAGGCAGCGTCAAGCCTTCTCCAGCAAACAACGCTCTTCTCGTCACACACGCCGTGTCTTCTCTTTCAAACTTTTCTTCCTCTTCTTCCCCTTGGCTTGACTTTCCTCCTCTCAACAAAGATGCATCTCTTCAACCTACGGCTAGGGTAAAGGCTTCCTTCTCACATAATGATGACAAACCTAAACAAAAGCCGCTCCTTCCTTCAGCAAGGGTTGGTCTTTTCACTCAGCTTCGTTTCTCATAGTTAAATCTTCTTCTTCTTCTTTTACCGCTACATCATCTCCTTCGTTGATTTTATCCCTCACTTTGATTCGACGCATTCAATTCAAAAAAATACACAATTTTTTAGTAGTAACGAAAGGTTGTTTATGTTCGATTAATAAATTTTACTATTAATATTTTTTTTAACTAGCTATTACATCTAAACAAAATAAAAATCGCAAAAGTGTGGCATTGCTCAGGATTGTCCTTCTAAGCCTTCCAGGCTTCGAAGCTCTCATGTAGTAAATGATATTAGCGCTCCGCCTTCCATAAAAATACCATTGGCCTCCAGCATCCAAGGTTGGAGGAGATATCAGATAGAGAGAATAGCTTGGAGTTCTATTGTCCCATAGCAAAAAGCTCGAATCCATTGTCCCAATGTTGTAGTTGGCGTCACATAGCAAAAAGTAGCTTCCTATTTTCATCTCTAAAAACTATGCTCGTACCGGCACGGTGGTTGGGAAGAAGTGCACTCTCCACATTTACCTTAATCCAACTCGAAAGAGGAGAGGGGTAGCACTGTCTATTTAGTTGGACAGTGTCCTAGTGCTCCGGAATGGGAAAGCAATGTGTCCAGATTAGAGATTCGAGCACCGTCGCCACCATAACAATAGGTGTAGCAAGGGATCGTCCATATTTCAGTGAATTTTGGGATCTCCAACATTGGTGGACAACATGGCAGTAGATGCGAGCTAGCAAAATCTGGGATCTAGAAGAAGCTGTGAGCTTCTCGATAAGACCTTCAATGGAGCTAAAATTTGGGTTCATAAACGCCCATTTTTGTAAAGTTTGCATCACCTCCTTAACAACAAGGCACTTAATAGAAAAATGGTCAAGGTTTTCCTCATCCTCAAAGCCCTAAGGGAACTTTCAAACCTCACCAAAACCTCTGCCAACCAGCCAAGAATTCGTCGGTGTGGCATTGTGGAGGAGACGCCACCAAAATAGTTTTTCCCCTAGGTGCAGCCTTAGCCGGCCGAACAACATAAACTTGTCCCTGGATCAAAAAATGCGCAGTGTAAGCCAAATATGGTACGGTTCTACCCAAGTCAGTTTGAAGTTGCTCTGGTTTGTCATCATGCACTTCTTATAATGTTTCAACCAATAAAATCTGCTCAATCAGGCTAAGGCCAAGAAAGCCCTGGAGCATCTTCCATTCGTTGCCCATTCTCAACACCACCATCAGGAGAATCTCAACAGCAGCAATGTAAACGAACGTGAGTCCCTTTGCTAAGGCCTTGTCATTAATCCATGCTTGATTCAAAACCGATGTCCTCCTTCCATTTGCAATTCACTGAGTAGTGGTGGTGGTAGGTGAGGGTTTGGATGGTTGCTCGGTGTGGAAAATATGGTTGGTAAGCAAAAAACAAAAAGAAGTTGGTTTCCTCAGGGTCATATAATAAGTAGACAGTCGGGAGACATGCGAGGGCTGTCCGGTTGATGGAAGCAAGGAGTAGGGGTGGAAACGGCATTGGTTGTGATAATGACTCGGTTGGAAGCAAGCAGGGGGCTTTTCAGCCGGTGTGGGAGGCAGCGAAGAAGGCTGAGAAGGGACGACAGTCGATTTGGAGGGCTGTGAGCTGGGAGGATGGAGGCAAGGTTGGCGGCTGGCTGGAGGCGATAACAGCAGGTTGGCGCCTCAAGGGAGGAACCGGAGAGCAGTTTGGGGATGAATAGACACCACCGCAGGACAAGTTACTGCCATAGCACTTTCTCGCCTTCAGATACAACCCTCCAAGCTGATGGCGATCCTGACAGATATCTGAGCAAAAACTACCCTCACTCACAATAAACAGAACACACATAGACATAAGGTAAAGAGGACTGGGCCCCACTTCTAATAGGAGGGAACTCTGTGCTTGGAAAGACCAGTTGATCCTTCCTTTGCCTGAACCGAACCGGTCTTATGTAGCCAATTGTGACTATTTGTCGCGCCTGACAAACGATGATCTGCGACATAGTGAATAGAAAAACTAAAGTGCTATTATCAATGGAGAACTTGGATTTAATTTCAGAAGATACTCAAAAAAAGTAGAACACCAAGTTCCACCATTAGGAATAAAAATGACTGACATGGTTAGACAAAAAAATTTCTTTCTCCCATAAAACATCACTAGATCAGCCGTGAATATTGACCTGAAGCTTTAAATTGTTTCCAGAAACTAGAATCAGTAAAAGAAAGCTGGATTGATAATGACTAATGATCGCTTATATTGAACTAAGACATCAGCTAATGTTACAGAATTGATCAATAAACAAGTGTATTGTCATAGATATTTAGGTAAGAAAGTAACCTCCTGCTCAAGTTGCTTGCTTTCGAAGAACCAAGCCTGAGCTGTGAGTAGGTCAATATGTTGTTTGGCAAACACCTGCATCAAAGAAACTATTTTAAAACAAAACAGTACACCAAATGTAAGTAGAATGCCCTAGAAACTTCATTATAATCATCTCAATCATTTGACATACAATAAGATTTTTGGAAACATTGCAATATGATGGAAGCTTTATAGTAGTTCAAATTACAAAGAATGGTGGAAATTCAACGAATCGTTGGATGGGCCTTCTTAATTAATTTTGTAAGGCCAAACTAATCAGAAATAACTTATTGCAGGAAGTAGAAAATAAATGTTTAAGTTGCCCTATAAACAAGAAATTGAAGTGGATTTTTCAATATTTTTTGACAAATAAATTTATGATTTTGAGAATTTCCTTAAGGATTTTAAAAGCTTTTTTGAAAATCTAAAATACTCAAAAATCAATTTCATTGGATTTGCTGCAAGCTATTATGAACTAAAATCTATTCTAGAACAGTTACACAAGTTGGCTAGGATTGTTTGATTGTGTTCTTTGAAGATATGCGTTTTATACTTTTACTTGTTTTTAGATATCATTTTAGAATCAGAAGTCACTTGACTATGCCTAGTTTTGTAAATTGATTTTGATTCTGAATTAATGATTTGTAATCGGGCTCGATTAATATGAGGCAAGCCAAAGACTCACATCTAAATGCAAATGTAACTAGCCATTAAACACTATTACACATTCTAGTTTTGCTTAGAAAATATTTTAGGATAGGCTAGTTAAGTTTTTTCTAGATTTTGATGATATTGAAAGTCACAAACCCTTGAGACACGTTCAATGATTATGCTCATTTGACCATGCTATTCTTGACTTAGCCATGCAATTTTGGCTAAATCTATTCTAGGTATTTTCATGTTCCTTTAGCCAAATCACTATTAACATAGTCATGCTCTATCAGCAACGTCTCCTTTAGAGCTAATCATGCTCTTTTAGATAGAATATCCCTCGATTTAACCATGCTCTTTTGCTTAAGAATATTCCTAGCCTTTTCTAAGTTTTTTTTCTCAACTTAGCCAACCCAACCAGTTAAGTATTGCCCCAATCTAGTTGTCTTTTTTGGCCAAGTCATTCTATTGTTTAGCTAGATCCTTTGCCTAAAGAGCAATGATATCGGTATAAACATGTAACCAATCTTTTTTTATAGGAAAATTTACATATACAGCAAATAATTTTTATGCATTTACATATCTCACATCTAAACTTTCATATTCGCATACATAAGCTTAAATGCTTTAAACTTACGTATGAAAAAGTTTATTTATTTTTAAAAAAATGATAATAATGCTATTTTTCATGTGATATTAAGGGTTTGAGTGATGTGTGTGTGTAAATATTGAAGTTTAGTTGTGAGATATGTAAATGTATTAGCATTGTGTGCTATGTATGTAAAGGTCCCTTTTTATATCTACGTAGACTATCTCTCCTTAGAGGCATGTACCCTTATACTATAAATATTTAAAGCACTTGTTAAATGCTCAAAATCCTCCATCTTTCAAATGTTTGAACCATATATAAATTGTCAAAGTCCTTGGGTTTGATAGTCGATAGTTTCAACAATATCTCTCTTACATTATTACATTTCTATTTGCATGTAATTATGGACCCACCACGCAGCAAAAGCGTGGTGTGCCCATACAGGTCACATGATAGAAACCCTGCCTTTTTTCATTAGCCGGATTGTCTCCCTGTGGACCACATACAGTGCAGGCCCTCTAGAACGCCTTCTGCAATCATCTCCCAACAAACAACATTACTTCCCTTCGGCTCGAGTGAACTTTCTTTTTCTAGTGCAAATAATCCCATGAGCAGAGGTTTCCACATTTCTGAGAGGTCGAATTTCACTTTCTACTTCAAATCGCGCATGCGCAAGCTTCCGCATCTCTGCAGCCTGCAGAAAGGTGAATTTTCTCTTTCGCAAATTCCATTGGCACAGGTTTCCAGTGTGTTCTGCTAGAGCCGCATTTTGTAGGTCCTTACTCAACCACTGTCATCTTCTCTTCCTTACGAATATCAACTGCGCTCTGATGTCTTCCTGCCATCCCAGCCGATTCTTCCCAAGCAAGAATGCAGAGCAGCCACAGGGGTTCCTTCTCTTCTACGGTGCAATCAACCAAAAATTATTTCCAACCCTAAACGTGCATGGGGCTTACGACAAAGTACAACATGTTGATCTCTAGCTCTACACTGAACGTCAATTTGGAATCAGAGATCAGGAATTCTAACAAAACAGTCCCGAAAATCTCTCACTTTTATCACAAACCATAAACTCAAAGAAGCATGCCTCCCTTGACCCGGTTTCCAATTTGTAGGGTTTCCATATAGTTTCCATTTACTAAAGAACAACTAGAGGCATTGAGGGAACTTCTTTTGAGCATAACTAAGCAGCTTACCGACTTGATGATACACCAAGGTATTATGTAAGCAGCTTACCGACTTGATGATACACCAAGGTATCATGTCCTCCTATCTCCCTAACAATGGAAGATTTAAATTTGGGATGATATATTCAGTTGCTTCTAATCACATGACTAGAGATATTCATGCTCTCAACTACCAAGTGTTCACTAATTGCAAATTTGTTAGACTTGTGATTGATCTCACTCCAAGATAGTTGACTCTCTTTGGTGTTACATGTTCCGCATTTAGATTGCAACTTACTTTAATTTAGCAAACTTACTCGTGACTTAAACTATAATACTAAATTTTATTCTAAAACTTGTGAATTTCAGGTGGTGGATTTGAGGAAGGTGATTGACAATATTAAATTGCATCAAGGTATATACCTGCTCAAGGAAAGCTATTCTCTTAAAACAGAAGTGTCTTCTCCACCATTCTCTTCCCATATTTCCGAGATTGTTGTGTCTGAGTTTGTTCAAATTCATGTTTTGTTATAATATTGTCGTTGGGGTCATCCCAATTTTCATTATGTTACAAACTTATATCTCCATCTTTTTATTAATAAAAAGCTAGAATTTTACAGTGTCAAACCAACCAATTGACTAACAATACTTCTGGCGTCTACCGTTTGTCTCAATATAAACCCTCACAGCCTTTCTCTATCATCTACAATGATATTTGGGGACAATCAAATTTGAAAATTATCAATGGAGGAAGATGGTTTCTCCTTTATTGATGACTACACTAAAACTCGTTAGATATTTCTTATAAATAAAAAATCTGAAACTGCTCAAATTTTTAGTTTTTCTATAACATGAATTTCACTCAATTCCAATACAAAATTCAGATTCTCAAAATTGATAACACAAAGAAATACATCAACTCTATCCTTGGACCCTACTTCGCAAAGAAAAATATCATCCATACGGGTTCGTGTTGAAACTGCACAACAAAATATGATAGCTGAGAGGAAGAATAGACACCTCCTTGAGGTATCTAAGTTTATAATGCTTTCGCACAATATCCCAAAAATTTTTGGGGAGATCCCACACCTATCAAGGAAATACCCACTTTTCAGAGCGTTCTCATCTAATCTTCACCTTAAAAAATTTGGATGTCACTTCTATTCACATTCACCAACCAACCGCACAAAGCTTGACTCACATTCAATCAAATGTATCTATCTTGACTATGATTCCAACAAAAACGGTTAAAGTATTCCCCTCCCATTACTAGAAAATACTACAACTCCATGAATACTACTTTCTTTGAAAACCAAACCTACTGTCCCAAATCTGATATTTAGAAGGAGAGTCATCACAACATCCTACACTACTATGGATATACACACTGATCTAGAGTCATCATAACCTATTCTACTTCCCTCGAACCATCATGTCTCCCATGTTTCACTAGTTGAGAACATCCAACCTGAGATTGATAATGAGAAGCTTTGTGTGTATATTAAGAGAATGAAATTCATTGAGCAGGATAAAGGCAATGAAATCACGGGATTGTTCACAGCCAAACCTAAATTCACACATCTCAGAAGTTCCAAGAGGTTAGAATCTAGTGGACTAGGGGAAAGTGGCACAAATTATTCTATCCAAGGTTATGTTACACATGGGAAGTTAACATCAACTTATAAATTTTTTATATCTATTGTTAATAGTGTGCATATTCCCAAGTCGGTTCATAAAATACTTCAAAGTCTAGAATGAAAAAAGGCAGTTGAAAAGGAGATCCAAGCTCTTGACCTAAATGATCATGGATATTGGCAAAACCTTGCTCCAGATAAAAGAATCATTGGGTGCAAATGGATCTTCAATGACAAGTACAAAATAGACGAGAGCGCCGAGAGGTCCAAGGTTAGATTGGTGGAAAAAAAGTTCACTCAGTCTTATGTGATGATAAACTATTAAGAGATCTTCGCTTTAGTGGCTAAGTTAAACACTATAAGAGTTCTTTCATTGTTAGTGAACAGAGAGTGAGAATTACATCAACTTGATATCATGAATGCATTTTTTAATGGAAATCATAAGGAAGAAGTGTATATGAAAATCCCACCAAGACTGAAAAATTACTCAAAGAGCATCTGGTTTGTAAAGTCTCTTTATGATCCCAAATAATCTCCAAGGGCATTGTTTGATTGCCAAGAAGATGAAATCTAATAGTTATATCCAAGCCAAGCAAATCATACACTGCTCATAAAGCATTTCTAGGGAGGCAAAAAGGGCTATAATCATTATCTATGTAGATGATGTGATCCTGGCAGGTGATGATAAAAAAGAAATAGAGAAGTTTAAGTAGGCTATTGTCACTGAGTTTGAAATTAAAAATCTAGAGGCGAAGAGATACTTTATGAGCAGGAAAGTGGCCAAATCCAAGATAGATATTATGATATCCCAAAAAAAGTACATCCAAAACCTACAAAATAAGACAAGAATGCTAGGGTGCAAACTTATAGGGACTTCTATGGATTTCAATAAACAGTTACAATTGAGGGAAGAAAAGACACCAGTGGAAAAGAATAGAAACTAGAGACATGCGACAAGCTCATCTATCTATCACAAACTAGATTGATATTGTTTATTATCTCGGCATTATGAGT